CAATGCAATTACACAATCATTACACACAATAGAACAACATCCTTATTCCATTACCAGGTCATATCAAATAAAATCATAATCAAGGTAATATTACTACCATCACAGTACACACATACAATCATGGAGATACTAAACATATCACACACATCAATTACACATAAAGTAATCAAAGCGCAAAATAACAAAGATAATGTCATAAAAAACAATACATAAACAAATAAGATAAAAAACATATCAACGAAAAAATTAAAAAAAAACAGCAACCAAACATAATAAGAAACAGTAGAAAACAAAGATACAAGGATAGTAACAAAAACAACAAACAACGTAAATGAACACGGATAACATAAAAATAACAAAAGAAGAGTGATTTTTTTATCGTAGACGAAAATACGTAAATAGAGTATAAAAGCGCGAACACACCACGGCTACGTCTGAAAGACAAAAAAAAAGACAAAATGAACGCTGTCCCCTCCTCACTCCTCCTCGTCCCCACCTACCGGCCAGCCCCCCCCACCCTCCCTCCCTCTCTCTCCCCCCCTACCTCCCCTCCCCCCTCCCTCCCCTCTCTCCCCCTCCCCCTTTCCTCTCTTCATCTCTTCTCTCCTCCCTTCTCCTCCGCCAGCTCCTCTGTCCTCGCCTCTCTCTCTCTCTCTTCATCCCCTCCCCCCTCTCCTCCCTCCCTCCTCTCTCTCTCTCTCTCCTCGTCTTCTTCTTCCCTCTCCCCCCCCTACTCCCCCCCTCCCTCCCCTTTCCCTCCCCTCCCTCCCCCCCCTGTCCCTCTCTATCAATGTCTCCTCCCTCCATCCCCCTCCTGTCTGCTGTCGCCTCCTCTCTCTCTCACTCCCCCCCATCTCTCCCCCTCTCTCTTATTCTCCACTTCCTCTCATTTCTTCTACTTCCCTTCCTCCCTGGCCGCCCCTCTGCCTGTCCTCCTCCTCTCTGCCTCATGCCCTGGTCTCTGCGTGCGCTGTCTCCGTCGCTCGCTCTGTCGGCCGTCCTGCCTCTCTCCCTCTTCTCCTCCCCCTCCTCCTCCCCCTCCTCCTCCCCCCCCTCGCTCTCCCCCTTGGTCTGTTAACACCTCAACGCAATAAAAAACATCATCAAAATAACGTACACTGGAATCAACAAAACAAAGAAAAAAACGATGGCATACCAAAAAGAAAAAAAAAGCAGAATGAAAAAACAGTTATCTCCACAGAGCAAACAGACGCAAAAAAGTGAGCCCGCGCAAACATCAATGCCACACAAAACAAGCAGATATAATGTAAAATGAACAGCAAATGAAGATGAATTGATTCAGACAATGCAAAGAAAATATAGGCTATTAAATACAATTCAAACAGGATAAGAAAACAAAAGCGGATCACAAAGCCGATTAACAAGGAACATATATAAACAACTCCCTCCCTCCTGCATGCTGGGTCCAAATCTGTCCCCTGGCTGTCTCTCCTTCCCCAAGAGAAAATAAAAATAAAAAACACATACAAATAATAAACAATAAAAAACACCATAATCCAAATACCAATACAAATAGTAATAAAACACCACCACACACACACACACACACACACCACACACACACACACACAAAAATAATAAAAATAAAAAAAGACACATACAATATAACACAACACACACACACACACACACATTACACACACACACGCACCACACACACACACGCACACACAACACACACACACAACACACACACACACACACACACACAACACAACAACACACACACCACATAATATAACAAAAAAAAATATAATAACAAAATAACATAAAACTAAATATATAATAAACCTACACAAAATAAAAAAAATCAAATAAAAATATAATAACATAAATAATTAAATAAAAATAAAAAATAATAAAACACATACACTATATATATAATAAATAATAATATAATAAAATAAATAACAACAAAAAAATAAAAATAATATCATACCATAATAAAAAAAGTAAAAAAGTAATAAAAAAAACAATAAAAAATAAATACAATAAACAACAGCACAATAAATATATAAATAATAAAAAAAATAAAAAAAAACAACAATACATACACTATATAAAATAAATAAATATAATATAGAAATAAAAATAATAAATAATACAAAAATAATAACAAAAATAAACAATATACAAAATAACAAAAAAAAAGTTATAAAAAACATAAGAAAAAAAAAAAAAAAACAATATGTATACAAATAAAATAAAAATACATACAAATAAAAATAAATATAATATAAAATAACTGATAGACCAATGTAATAATAATATATAATAAAAGACTCATAATAAATAAAAAAAAATATAAAATATAATACAACAGCACGTAAAAATAAAATAAAATATAAATAAATAAAAAAATATAAAATATAATAACAATCAAACATAGACGAAATATAAAAAAATAAATAAAATATAATAAATATAAATTAATATAACAGATAAGGAAACAATATAAACAAACACACACACACACACACACACACACACCACAATCCCACACACAACAAATAATAACATAATAAAAAAATATAAAAATATACATATATAACCAATAATATATAAAAATAATTAAAAGTATATAAAAATAATAAAATATTAAAAAAAAAATAATAATAAAATGATAATAAGTATATCAATAAAAGTAAAATAATACTAAAAATAAAAAATATATAATATGATTGGCGTGTTGTTGTGGTTTATTGCATCGTACAACATCCATGCATAATAAACAATAAATAAATAAATAAATAATAACGTCAGTAGAAACACAAACATAATATAACTAAAAATAATAAATGCACACACACATACACAAAACACACACACCACACACAACAACACACACCACCACACAGAGTTATAAAAACCGATACATATAAAAATACATATATGTAATATAACAACATATAAATAATAAGAAACACGTATAATATATGTGCATAAATATGACACACCACAACACACACACACAACACACACACACACACACACAACATAATATAAAAATATAATAAAAAAAAAAATAATATAGAAATTTTGTTGTTGGTGTTGTTTAGGAAAAAATATATATAAATAAAAATATATAATAAAAAAATATTAATAGCATCAACTGTACAGGACAACTAAATACAAGCCGCGACCGCTAAAACACTTACACAACATAAAGACTTCCAAGATTCAACTAACCTAAGGATAAACAGATAACAATGGTGTGAAACAAACATATAAGATCTCTGGTATAGTGAACGTTTTTTATTGGGATTAGCTTTCGATATTTCTTAGGTTCAGTTCATTTAGACCATAAAAAACATAGCACGACTCATGGTCCTCAGTTTGACTTTGATAAGCAAGTCGACCGCTCAACACAACCCTAAGGTTTATTGTTATGAAAGAATAAAAATCTTATGAAATAGCAAAAACCGTTTTCTGTCTCGAGAGGGCACTTCATTTAATGTCTTTAATTAACCGATTTTTTTTGCACGATCGGACTTTATCTGTAATGATGAAAAATGGAGAGGAAAGGAAAGATAAAACAAGCAACAAAATTCGCGTCGTGAATGAAGCTTCGAAACGCCCTCCGAACTAAATAAACAAGGTTTTAATCACATCTGGAGATTCGAGACCGATTTCGAAACAGTTTCAAGTTTTCGACCCTTGTACAGTACTCCACCTTCATCATTACGCCAATTCATACGCATTTACCCGTGTCACGTGGGCAAACTACCCTTGGAGGCACAGAAATATCGGTGTTTCAGAAGCAGAATGACTATATACGGAAAAGAAACCATAAAATCAGGCCCGGGCGGTCGGCCATCTCGCTTCCTCTTCGACGAAAACCATCACGCGTTTCCTCATTAGTAAACGAGGTCAAGTAATAGTAACGAAAAGAGTGGATGAGAAGAAGTGTACAAAGAGAGAAGAAAGAGAAAGAGAGTAGAGAGAGAGAGAGAGAGAGAAAGAAGAGAGAGAGAAGAGAGAAGAGAGAGAGAAGAGAGGAGAGAGAAACGTCAGAAACAACATGTAGAGAGAGAAACAGGGGGGGAAGACTGNGGGGAAAAACATTGGCTTATCATATCCTTATCACCCAAGTTCTCTGCTTTGGGGAAAAATTTATAATAAGCATGATATTAACAGTTCTCAATACACTTTTGCCTACTTTCAAGCTTGTTTTCATAATTCTGAAAACAATATATTCTAATATGAGAGAGAGAGAGAGAGAGAGAGAGAGAGAGAGGAGAGGAGAGAGAGAGAGAGAGAGAGAGAGAGAGAGAGAGAGAGAGAGAGAGAGAGAGAGAGAGAGAGAGAGAGAGGAGAGAGAGAGAGAGAGAGAGAGGAGAGAGAGAGAGAGAGAGAGAGAGGAGAGAGAGAGAGAGAGAGGAGAGAGAGAGAGAGAGAGAGAGAGAGAGAGAGAGAGAGAGAGAGGGACAGACAGACAGCTCCCCATGGCTGAGAAGAGACACAATCTCCATGGCTGAGGAGAGAGAGGAAGACTCTCTGTGGTAGAGGAGAGAAAGAGTCTCCATGACTGAAGGGTATGAGAAAATCTCCATGGCTGAGGAGAGAGAGGAAGAATCTTCTAGGCTCAGGTCTTTGTGAATAGAGAAATTATAGCTTACAGCCTAGCCCTTCCTGGCAAAGCAATGCCATGCAGCTGCTCACTGTACAATTTTTGAAGATTCTGGCCTAAACCTTTTCAAAACATGTATCATTTGATTCTGAATTTACTTTTATATGCAATATGTATAACAAAAATGGAAAAACTGCAAGCTAACATGGAAACACATCCTCTATTCTTTGGAGAAGAGCCACTTCCACAAAAATACTTTGGCAGAAAGCAAATCCAGAGCATTATTGTCTCATAAAAAAAGTTAAATTAAAAATAAAAGAAAAAGTAAAAGAAACCAAGAAAAAGAGGACCAACAACAAAAGAGAATAGGAAAAAGAATAACAATTTTTCTGGATACTGAGTACAAGTGCATGTTTGTGTACAGCTAGACAGGCAGAGTACGCACCTGTCTCCGTCCCTGGAAGTACAGACTGATTGCCTGTTTACCATCCAACAGAGCTGCCTTTGGTGCACCAAGAGAAGCCAATGGAAGGCCTCGCAACCCAGGGGAGGACAGTGAGGGAGGCAAGAAGGAAACACC